TTTATCATCTTGATTAGTTATTCTGTGGAGGGAGAGACTGAACGTGTTGAGCATCGAATATCAAGGATGTTTGTTCTCATCTGGTCAACTCTGTTGTTCTCTGTAAGAGGCAGCAATGCTGACAAAGGTTTGCATCTGATAATTTGTAATTTCTATTTCTGCAAATATGATAGTATAATATATTTAGCATATATCTGTATGTGAAACTGTTTTCCTGACATGAATCTAGATAATAAGCATTTATTCACACTCACACATAATTTAATAGTGCCATTGCTATCAGTTGACTTGCATGTGATAAATAAATATTTTGTTAACTGCACATATAATAGAATAAGAAATGTGAAACCTTTCATCTTTTCCTTTCCTTAACAGTTACCTCAGTCTGGGGACGACAACACTGTGTTGGAAGTTACTGTGTGACTCCCAGTGAGCGAGAACTAACAGCAGAGGCTGGACTCTGTGTTGTGATCCCGTGTTCTTTCACTACTGCTAAATATTTTACAGCCAAACATACAGTTTGGTACAAATGTGAAGCATCTAAAAAAAGATGTAGTGATGCTGACATAATATTTTACAGCAACAAAAACACAGACAAAAAAGCTCAGTCTGGGTTTGAAGGACGAGTCTCACGTTTGGAGCCTGATGTGAGTCAGAAAAACTGCAGCATCATCATTAATGATCTGAAAGAGTCTGATTCAGGATCATATCAGCTCAGAGTTACTGGTGTACGGAACAGAACACAAGATGTATTCATATTTAATCAGAGAGTGACTGTTATAGTTAAAGGTATGAAAAGCTATTCCAAGATCAATCATGTAGAAAAACAATATTCAGTCATGTACAATAGCTCATTTAGCATTTTTATGGTGTTAATGAAGTATTCATTTTTTTTGGAAATTGATGACCTCTATGGCAGCTGCTAGGAACTGCTGCAGTTCCTGATAAAACTTGTGTTTGCCATTAACCATTTTCACCAAATATCTTATTATCTGAGCCCAAATCCAAGTAGTTAATAAACTTCAAGCATTTCACTTGATTTCATTAATGCCCAGTATTTCCATTAGGTATTGAACAGAAGCCCAAAGTAATGATTCCCACACTGACAGAGGGACAGCAGGCCACA